TATATAGTAGGTGCATAATTATATTGAAATAACACATAAAAGTATGGTAAGGAACAATAAACTGGGTATGGTGGTGTAAGCCAGCACTCTGGGAAGATGAGATGGGAGGATTCCAAATTTGAACCTACTGTGAGCAACTTATCAAGATCCTGTCTCAATAAAAAAATTTAGGGCCAGGGAGATAGCTCAGCAGCATAAGCACCTGCCTGGCAAGCACAAGGTCCTGAGTTTGATCACCGGTACAAAAAAAAAAAGTAATAACACAATAAAAAAAATTTAAAAAGGCTACAGATGTAGCTCAGGGTGAAACCCTGGGTTCAGCCCCCAACACCACACACACACACACAAGGGAACTAGGACTATATTAAGTTAGTAGATCCATGTTTCTTCCCCATACCCTCCATTTTTCAATTGTAAAGAAATGTACTAGCCAGGAATGGTGGCACATGACTGTAATCCCAGCTACTTGGGAGTTGGGATTAAGTCAGGAGGATTAAAGTTTGAGATCAGCCTGTGCAATATAGTGACTTAGCAAGAACCTGCCTCAATATCTGTAATCCCAGTACTCAGGAGGCTGAGGCAGGAGGATCACAGTGAGTTCGAGGTTGGCCAGGGTTATAGTGAGTTCAAGGATAGCCTGAATTATGCAGGAAGATCCCGTCTGCAAAAAAAATAAATAACTGAAAAAAAAAAAAAGAAAGAAAAAAAAAAGGGGCCGGGGAGATGGCTCAGTAGGATAAGCGCTTGACTGGCAAACACAAGGATCTGAGTTCAATCCCCGGTTCTGCAAAAAAAAAAAAAGAAAAAAGAAAAAAATAAATAAATAAGGAAATAGAGAAAGAAAGAATCTGTCGCAAAACAAAAAGTATCACTATCAGGCCAGGAAGAGATAGTTCAGTGGAATAAGTGCTTGCCTGGCAAACACAAGGTCCTGAGTTCAATCCCTGGTACCACAAAAAAATAAAAGTAAAAGGGCTGGGGATGTAGCACTGGGGATGTGCAAAGGCCCTCAGTTCAATCCTCAGTACTGTTAAATACAGAAATAATTTGTCGCATTTTTAATAGTCTTGCAAGGAAAAGCCCCTAAAGAGCGAAGAATCAGTTGTGCCCGGCTCCTAGTGGGGGTCAGACCCTTCGGGAAGAATCTGCTCTGGAGAGGTGGAAGCCCGCGCTGGGCCCTGCTCCCAGCCCATCCCCCGCGAAGAGGATATCTCTTGTTGGCCGAGTCCTCGGTCAGGTGCTTGAAGCTGAGAGAACAGCTCTGGATAAGCTGGTCCAAGGCCTGCTCGGTGCTGATCAGCTCCTTCAGCTCCTGTCCTAGCTGTTGCTGCTTCGAAGGCCGGGAGGGGTCTTCACACAGTCCCCTGCCTCTGGGAACACAGCAACCCCAACATCCGTGTCTGTCCACATCTGCCCCCCTCCCAGCTCTGCTGTTACAGAGAGGCACCATGGAGTAGGCAAACCTCCAGGGGGAGGCTAGTTATGGCATCTGCGATGGTGTCACAGCCACAGGGTTGTGCAAATCAGGGGACCAGCCTAGCTCCCGGGGACTGACCAGGGACTGGTGCTTGAGGTTGGGGGCTGGGCTCGCGAGAAGAAACTAGTCAAGTCAAAAACGCCATTTTTCTAATCCTTCCAACTGGGTCCAGCGCTAGGTCTCAGCCTCCCCCAAGTGGAAAGACATTCTTCCTGAGTCCCTTGCCTAGGTTTTCTTAGGGTTCATGCCAGAGCTTCAAAGTCTCCTCTTCCAGGCCTTGCAGAAGTGGGAAGAGGAATCCAAGTTATTCCTACGGAGCTCCGAGGAGTCTGTCCTGAGCTAAGACAGGCAGATCTTGGGGTCCTTCACCCAGAGAGAGCGTGTGGGGGTCTTCCTAGGTCTCTAAACCTTCTAGAAATCATCTTCCCTTTCCATCCTGCCATTCCCTCAAGTGCTGTTACCCAAGCCTTTGCCCCTTCTCTTCCACCCCACCTCAGAGACGTTGGCTCTGACTCAGCGCGGAAACCTCTGGCTGCTCTCGACCCTCCCCAGGCCCCGTGCCCCCCGGAAGGCTGGCCTCAGCCTCGCCCTCGCACCCGCACCGGTGGCCCTGCCCAGGCACTCACACCCACTGGATGTTGTTCTTGGACTTCTTGCGGATGAGCTGGATGCCCTCCAATACATTGGTGATGTCGTAGATGCGACGCTTCTGCACGTCCAGTACCTCTGCTGCCCAGTTCAGGTCCAGGACCCCATCCTCTGACTCGCTCAGGAGGTAAATGAACTTCTTGGTGAGCAGTCCCAGCGATGTGTCGTACCGAGTCTTCTCTCCAGGGGACTTAGGTGCTGAGGGAGAGAAGAGTTCCTCAAAGCTCAGGGAGGGCCAGCCCGTGGGCTCCCCTCCATTGCCCTGGACCCACAATGGACCCACAGCACCTTCTTCCACCCTCCACCACCCATGCCTCACAGGTAGGGGCTGTCACCACCGTCGTCCAGATACCTAAAACGAAAGTGACTCAGCCACAGAGCACTGTCAGGACTAGAAGCCCAGGCTCCTGATGCCTGATTCAGAGCGCCTTTGAACCACAGCTCACGGCAACCATTTCCACCCCCATAACTACCAGGCCTGCTTCCTGTGTGCAGCTCACTGTTTAAGTACCTGCCATGCACAAACACGTTTAATCCTTACAATGCTCTGTACGGTTGGTGTGCAACTATACCCATTCTTCAGATGAGAAAACCAAGGCCCAGACAGATGAAGAAATTCAGCTCGAAAGTGGCAAAACTAGGATTTAAATCCAGACTGTTTGACTCCACAGTCTCCCTTCTCCACCATTCCCCTGTCCTCTTAGCTATGCCAGGAATCTGGATTTAGGGTAGAGGCGGAGGCTGACAAGCCTGGAGTTGAGAACATTTTGTAGATGCATAGTTGCTTTTTCTTCCCACGTATTATCTGAAAGGAATCAGTCATATAACGTCAGATGGGACAGGTTTGTGAAGAGGGTCCCTTTCTCAGTGAGGTTGATGTTGCAAGACCGCATCTCAGCTGCTGTGTCCTAAAACCACAGAGGCACTTCTGCAATCGAGTGACTTGCAAGTCACATACCAAGTCAGTGGCCAAACTAGTTCTAGAATCGGAGTTAGTCTCAGATTCTTTTTTTTTTTCACCAGGGATCAAACTCAGAACCTTGTGCTTGCCAGGCAAGCACTTATTCCACTGAGCTATTTCCCTGGGAAGGAATTCATTCAGAATTCCTTAAACGTAGATGGTGTTTGGCACTCAGTACTTTGTCTCATTTTTGCACACATGGCAGACATTACTAATCAATCAATGCACTTTTTCAATCATCCTGCTAAGCACTAGACTTCTTCAGTGCAGTACTCTGGGCAGCCTTTGCCAATCAATTGGAGAAAAAACTTTCTCATCAGCCCTGACCTACCTGTACCTCATTTTACAGATGAGACACCTAGGGTTTGTGCAGGTCAAATCAGATAAGAGCCCTGCCTGGACACCAATATCCCACCCAGTGACATACCTTCTCCCAAGCGAGTGGCTCAAGTTCCTGTTTTAACCAGAATATTGATTTATCTTTAGGAAGACTCCATTTAGGCCTCTGGATCTCATCTTTGTTTCTTTTTGAAAACAAGTCTTACTATGTAGCCCAGCCTAGCCTAGAACTCACAATCCTCCAGCCTCAGCCTGAGCCCTTGGCTTCTCTGGATTTGGTGGCTTCCAGATCCTGAACCTCAGAGACAGCAGTATCATTTGCTTCCCAGAAACAGAACTGGCCCCTTTTGAACGCTCACTTCTCAGACCACTGAAATGGCATGCAGCCTGAATTAAGTGGCATTCCACCTTCCCATGAGTCACTTCGCTCTGCCAGCAGGTGGGAGAAACCCAGATTAGCTTGTGCTCCGCCCTGAGCGTGGATCTCTTACAGAGCCTCAGATTGAACTAAACATGAAAACTCTGGGGCTGGGGATATAGCTCAGTGGCACAGCACCTGCCTGGCAAGTGCAAGGTCCTTAGTTTGATTCCCAGTACCAAGAAAAGAGAGAAAACTTTATTTAAAAAAAAAAAAAAAAACTTTGTTTTTTGATGCTTCTTTATTTATTTGTTTGTTTGTTTGTTTGGCAGAACCGGGGATTGAACTCAGGCCCTTGCTCTTACCAGGCAAGCGTTAATTCTACTGAGCCATCTCCCCGGCCTCCCATTTATTACTATAGTATAATATATAGTTCCGGGGCTAGTGAGATAGCTCAGTGCACTAAGCGCCTGCTTAAGCAATCGTAAGGACCAGTGTTGGATCCCCAGTACCCCAGGCCACGCCGGCCATGCCCCTGGGGGCACTGAGCTAGCCACCAAGAGGGGGTGATGTAATCCCAGTGCTGGGGAGGCTAAAAACAGGAGGATCACTACGAGTACGAGCTGTGTAGCGAGACCCTGTACCAAATAAATAAGTAAATAAATAAATAAATAGCGTTTTGTCTGCGCACCAATGCGAAGGATTGGTGAAGAATTAAACATTACATGTTGCAACATATACTAATGAAAAAGAAAAAGAAAAAAATTGGAGGCACAGAGCTGAAGGTTGCTTGGCTGGGAAAGTGAAGTCTTCCAGCTTTCGCTGGGATCGGCGCGGGAACTGAGCCTCCTCACTTCTCTCTGGGCATTAAAACTTAAAAAACAGCAAGCTCCTGGAGTAAACACTGGTCATCAGACTTAACCCATGGGTCATGGCCCATGCTTTCGTCCTGCCTTCACGCTAGCCGTGGGACCCTGGGCAAGGACTGCGTCTCAGCTGCATCGGAAGGGAGATAATCCTATCTTCCGGGCCGGGTCAAGTGAGAACACACAGGAAACCTTGGGAAGCCAGCAAGCGGGGTCTATTTCCACGATGGGTGGAATACCACCCCAAGAGCCTCGGTCCCTGCCTCACCTCCCCCCACGCCCCAGGGGCCCCAGCAAAAGCCTACTTCTGGGGCTGGGAAGGCCATCCACGCGAAAGCATTTCCCCTTGGGAGTCCGGAATTCAGGGACCGCAGGCTTCCCAAGACCCTCCAGGTCCAGCTTCCTTTTGGCCTAGGAGAGAGGGGAAGAGAGACAGGCAGTGTGAGAATTGATCTTTTTTTGTTTTGTTTTTTTGGTACTAGGGATTGAACTTGAGCTTGACAGGCTATCTCCCCAACCTGAATTGATCTGTCTTAGCCTTATGCCCACCTGGGGCCAAGATTTGAGGCCATGGGGCCAGGGAGATGGCTCAGTGGAATAAGCACTTCCCTGGCAAGCACAAGGGCATGAGTTCAATTCCCGGTTCTGCCAAAAAAAAAAAAAAAAAAAAAAAGATTTGAGGCCACCAGCAGCCACCTCCTGTGCCAGTGACTGCTGGGCCACACTTGATAAGAAAATATCAATGAGAAAAAAAAATTAAAAAAAAAAAATATATATATATATCAATGGTCTGAGAAGTGAGCACTCAGAGGGGGAAAGTAGTTTTCTAAGGGTGGTGACACTCCCACCTCTGAAGCCCAGGCACTGGAGGCTACCACATTCAAGCAGGCCAAGGGCTCAGGCTTCCTTACCCCAAGCCACAGGCTGCCTCCACCCGCCTCACTACCCCTGCAGCCCCAACCCCATGCCCAGAGGACACACTAGTAGGAAGGAGTGGGTAGGGTCTAAACCACACCAGGCTGGGGACCAAAGTCTCCAAGTAGCAGCTGGCCCAGCTGGTTGGGGTGCCCATCACAGCCCCACAGCTTGTCCTTATCAGAGCAGAGCCCAGCATCCGCCCAGACCCAGGGTACTTCCTGGCTTGGTGCCACACCCTAGGGAGGTACCCACACGGGAAGCAGAGCAAACATCCCCTGCCCCCATGTTTGGGCTGTCACTCAAAGGCCCAGGGCCTCTTCAATACACTCTGTGCCATTCTTTCTCCACAGAGGGGCAGACAATGGGTCCTCCCCCAGTATCTCAAGGACCAGCTGCTGAAGCCCTGCTGCCCCTCCCGGTTCCCGCCAAGCTTGGGAAACACCTGCTGGGGAAATCAAACCACAGACCCATCTGCTCCTCCCTGCCACCACCGCCACCCGGTCCCACAGAGGCCCGGAGCTACGCTGAGCTGCACTGCCCAGAGGGCCTCGCTCCAGGTTAGGCAGGGGCAGGGCCGGGGCCCTGGGGCACAAGTCAGAGGCTGGACCAGAGCAACAGCCTCACTGTGACCTGGGGAAACGCTCCACCTGCGGTCTTCTGCATGACACAAGGCAGAGTTCTGGTGAGGCCTCGGGAGGACACTTCTGTAAAGTTCTCAGCCTGTGGTTCAGCATACAGTAAGTGCTGAGGAAACGCATGGTACTTTCCCTAAAATCCAATCTCAACATCCTCCCTGACACCGTTCTTGGGCTACTGAGCCCACTTCCTTCCTCTTCTGTGCCCCCGCCGCCAGGACCCCCGGCCTTGGCTTCGAGGCCTATTTTAACACTTGGTGGTGAGGTCATGCTCAGTAGTGCTGAGAGGCACAACTGCGGCTCTCCACAGCTGGGATGACAGGTGGGGCGAAGGGTGCGCGCTCCTGCACACAGCCCCCCTCCCCCTCCGGCCTCCTCCAGGAAGCCTTCCTGGGCTGATTGGAGAAGCTCTCTTCCTAGCTTCAAGGAGCCTAGAAATGAGGCACCTCTCCACACCCCCAGCCAGCTCTGGACATGGGCCACACAGCTCCCTGCTTAAGCCTGTTGAACATTCCTTATCTATCTCCAGGATGATAAAATCCTAGATTCCAGGACCAAGCCATCCTGTCACTAGAGAAAAGGCCAGGCCTTCTCTTGAGAACTTCCAAATGCTCTGAGCCAAGCCAGGCCCCAACCCCCACCTCCTCCCCAAGCCTTCCATGCCGCCAGTCCCCATTTTACAGTTGAAGGCACAGCAATGGGGCGAACTAAGGCCTTTCTCCATCCTGATGGATGCTGCCTGTGCCAGGGCCCTTCGCCCACCCTCCAAAGAAATACCAAGGGCACAGAGAGGAAGGGAGGCCAGGGGCCAAGGGCTGCCTGAAGTTGGGGGGGTACCCCAGCGCCTCCCCAACCGTTGCCATCTCTCCCGCCAAGCCTCCCCACCTGCAGAGCAGAGAGCAGGCTTAAGGACCTTGACCAGATTCCTCATGCTGGGCCTATCTTGTGCTCGTAGACTCCTGCAATATCAGTACTGGCAATCTCCACTGGCAGACAAGACGTGGGCTCAGAGGTCAGGGTGCACACCCAAGTGCACAAAGCAGAGCCAGGGTTTGAACCCAAGCCCATCAGGTTTCCAGGTCATGTACCAAGCTGCCTCAGCTCCATTCTATCTCTGTCCCTTCAGGATTTGCTGGAATACGGACCAAGGCCTGCTCCTACCATTTCACACACTCACACTCCAGGCCCCCAACTCCCCCTCCCCCTCTGGCTGCACTCTCAGGGCCTCTAGGTAGCAAAATGTCACCCACCTAAGGACACCTCTTTGACACCTTTTTTTTAAATTTTTTTTTTAACATTTATTTAGTGTGTGTGTGTGTGGCCAGCTCAGCCCACCAGGGGGCGCGGCTGGCTGGCATGTGGTGCTGGGGGATCGAACCGCGGTCCCTGGGCTTTTCCAAGCTTGTTCCAAATAGGTGCTTTAGACCACTGAGCCATCTCTCCAGCCCATCTGACACTTTTGAGAAAAGTCAGTGTATGGGGGCTGAAAGGGTAGCTTGGTATTAGAGCACTTGCCTAGCATGCCCAAGGCGCTGGGGTCAAACCCTGGCACTGAAATGAAAGCACGGGAGGAAGAGAGGGAGGAAGGAAGGGAGAAAAAATTCAACTCATAGTAGGATGGTTTTGTGACACCAAGACGGCAGAGGACTATCCCGAGCGAGGCTGAGCTCCAGTCCTGGGGTCCGACTGAGCCAGTTGTCCGCTATGCCACCTGCTTCATAATTGGGTAAGCTGGAAAGTCAGCTGACCTCTTGGGCCACTTGTAAACTGGGGCCAATCCACTCCGCACTAAAGTGCCAGGCACCAGCAGAGGCAGAGTTCAGAAGGGAGCTGCAAAGAGACAGCTCCCGCGGCGGCCCGGAGACCAAAGGTCCGTGGCCACACCCAAGGCCAGCCCGGCTCTCACGGCTCGGCTCTCACCTAGACTTGGCGGCTCTCACCTAGACTTGGCGTAGGCAGCCCCTCTGGCCTGGTTAGGATTCACCCCGCCCACCACCGGGAGAAAAGCATAGCTCCTTCCTGTGCAGAGCTCCCGGAGCAGGGCGCGGACACTAGGATCACAGAAAAGGAAGTGATTTGCTCAAGGTCGCAAAGAGATGGAGCCAGGTGTCTCCCAAGCTTCAGGTCAGAAAACATGGGACAGAAGCACCGGGAAGGAGCCTCACCTCGCTTTCAGCTCCCAGCTGTGCCACTTGGGAGCTGGGCAGCCTGGCTTGGCTGCCCTGCCCCTCTGAGCCTACGCTTCCTCTTCTGACCTGCCTGGTCAGGTTCAGTGAAATGTCTATGTTCTAACTGCCACGGCGACGCACACCTACAGATCCAGTGACCCAGGAGGCTGAGGCAGGAGGAGCCTTTGAGGAGCCTAGGAATTATTGGAGCCAGCCTGGCTAACATAGCAAGACTCAATCTCAAACAACATCTATTTTCTCTTATGGAAGTCTAGAAAATATAGACAAATTAAAGGGAAAGATCTGAGACATGACAATGCTTCGTGCCTGGCCAGACAAGCGCCTCCACACAGAGAAGGGCCCTCCATAAAGGACTTTAAAACGGGGATAGGTCTCCTCGGACTCAGTGCAGACTGCCTTGGACGAACATCCAGCCACCCCTTTCCCAAGTATCTGCTTTAGTCCCAAACCCGGTCTTCCCTCCAAATGCCTAGTAGAGGATGCAAATGGAGAAACCCCACTGGGCTCTGGGGTAGCTGTTTTCTCAGACCCAGGGCCAGGCCAGAGAGGGCCCAGAGTGTGGTGGCATCAGCCTGCAGGGAAGCATTCCCTTCATCCTCTCAGGAGAGTGGTAATGAGAGCACTAGGCAGGGAGCAAGAAGGCCTGAATTCTGGCTTTCAGTCCTCCATCAAAGTTAGCTGCCATTGCTGTAAAGGGCAGCTCCCCAACAAATCCTGCTCACCCTGCACTTTGCAGCTCGGCCACAAAGCAGGCGGTCACACCCAGGGTTGGGTTTGGAACTGTTCCAGGTCACACCCTTGTAAAATGAGTAAGCAGGGGCCGAGGGGCCACGGGCACACACGGGGACCACAGGAGATGGGGCTCTCAGCCTAGCAGGCCTTTGCGGGGGGAGGTGGGTCTCATGCAAGGAGATCCCCGTTTCTCAGCTGGTGGCTTGGGCAGGTGTCTTCACTTCTCAAGTCTCCTCACGCGCAAGGTGCCTCAGCCTGGGCATCACGTCCAAGATAATAAAAGTGAAGAATGCCAAACAGTGCCTGGCACAGAAGAGGTGTTCAGTAAAAGAGAGCCATTCTTGCTTAGAGCACTGATGCCTTCTGGGAGGGAGGGAGGTACAGACCGATACACTCGGGTTCCTCTGGGAGGGATGAAAGCAGTTCAAAACCACAGCTGTTACTGAAACTCTTGAAGCAGCTGGCCAGAGGAGAGACTGGGGTGTGTGCCGCTGCGCCCTTTCCCTGGTATCTAAGTCAGGCAGTACTGGGGAAAGCCAAGGCTGCATAAAGAGGGCTGTCTTTGGGGTCGGCCCCCCACCTTCTTGTGTGACTCTGCACCTGTTATATCCTCTATCCGACCCCAAGTTTCTTCCTGTAACATGGAGCTATCAACCACACAGACTACAAAAACACTTCAGGCTGTAAAGTGCTGAACACAAGACACTACACGATAATTGGGGATAATAGCATGCCTGCTTCCTTCTCTTCTAGTTGGAAGTAATGTGCGGGAAGGAACTCTGGGAAGGTAAAAACAAAGCGTGGTTGCAATGGCAGGAACTGGAGCTCTGCCTACATCCAGAGATGGCTGGGATGGATGCCTGCCGACTGGCCCAGGTCTGACCAGATGCCTCTGAGACCACGGGAACTCATCTTGGCCTTGTATGCCCCACCACACATAAGCAAACCTACAACATCCCCAACTTCCCTCCTGGAGCCTGGTTCCAAAGCCCAGGACTAGGAGCTGGGAGTGACCATGCATGTCCAAAGAGAGGAAACTGAGGCCCAGACTTGTAAATAGTACATAAATTAGTGATAGAGCCAGAAATCCGGCTCCCAACCCCCACCAGCAGCCTTGCTCCCATTTCCTTTCCCATTCCACCCCCACACGGAGGAGCAGGTTTCCATACCCTAGAGCTCCCGGAATTCCGCCCCCACACAGCACACACCCTGCGCTGCAGCCTGATGCCACCACACTCTGGGCCCTCTCTGGCCTGGCTCCCGGTCTGAGGAAACAGCTACCCCACAACCCAGTGGGGTTTCTCCATTTGCATCCTTTACTGGGCATCTGGAGGGAAGACTGGGTCTGGGACTAAAGCAGATACTTGGGAAAGGGGTAGCTGGATGTTTGCCCACGCGTCTGCACTGAGACCCAGGAGACCTACCCCCGTTTTAAAGTCCTCAAATTATCCCCAGGCCAAGCCCTGAGCCTGGACAATAACAAGTACCCAGTTCTGCTTTCCGGACCAAACAATACACCCAAAGTCACACAGAGCACTAGGGACTCCGAAAGCAGTCCTCTTTACCCCACTATCAAGGACGGGATTATTTCATCCAAAATCTGAAAATGGAGGGTCTTCTATTAGATACAGGGACCAATGGATTGTTTTGGAAACTGAAAATCATCTTCCTCCTCCCCAAAACTCCATTCCAGGCGGGGTCCCCTCCCTCTACCCGGAAAGGCACAGAGGGAAGTAATGAGGGTCCCCAGCATTACCGGCAGCCGGCCGGCTGGCACGCAGCGCACAGCTTGGCCGTCGGGTCCGTGGGGGGTGGCGTCGAGGCAGGTGCCGGGCGCTGCAGCGGGAGGCACCGTCTGCGGGAACAGCGAAGTGTAGTAGGTGGCGGTGACTGGGCAGAGCTGGGGGCTGCTTAGGCCGGGCGGCCACTGCTCAGTGGGGCTCAAAGCCGGCACCCCGTTGGGAGGCTGCGCAACGGCGGGGGCCAGGGCCCAGGGCCCGCGCAGCATGGCGACTGCGGCGCCCCCCACCCAAGCGGGCCTGGCGCGCCCACTGGCACTTGCGGGCTCTGGAGTCAGCAGCGGCTCACGCGGCCCGCGGCGTGGCGCGGAAGCCGGGGAAGCCGCCAATGGACGCCTGCGGGGCACGGCCGGACCCTCCCCTCCTGGCCCGCGGCCGAGCCACGCAGCGCTTGGAGATCGCCGCTTGGAGATCGCCAGGCGAGCAGTGGCACTGCCAGGGGCTGTCCTCGCTGAGAACGGCCCGCGCCCCGAGAGCCTGGGCGCTGGGGTTCGGCCGGAACTGGGGAGGGGTCCCCAGAGCCCGCGAGCTTGGCAGAGACGAGACGCGCTCGAACAGAGGAGGGGACCTCAAGGCCCCGAGTCGCTCTCAGACCGCTCTCTGGGCCCCGAGCCTTTCTCGGTTTCTTTTTTCTTGTCTCTCTCTTTTTTTTTTTTTTTTAGCGCCAAACTACGTGCCGCGAAATTCGGATCTCCCGCGGAAAATGCAGCGCTCCAGTTGGCTGCTGAAACAGGTACAGGCTCCACCCCCCGGAAAGGACTGGCTTTTGGAGCGGCGATTGCACCACCAGCTTTACTGCTTAAAGGGACCGCGACATCTGCCGTTTCCCGGCGTTGGCCGGCACTAGCAGCCCGCGGAAACTGGGACAGACGGTGGTTCCGGGATAGACAGCACAGCCTGCCAGAGCAGTGTACAGCTTGCTGACAAATGCGCTCGGGCTTTCTGGGGTTAGGAGAAAACATCTTGGCGCAGAAGTCAACCCTTGAAGTTAGACCCTGCAGTGCATCATCTTTTGTTAAACCTTTGCCACTGCTTAGCTAGATTATATGTGTTTATATCCCATTTGCTGCTAAAAAGAAAATCAGGACACCCGTACCCTTACTTACAGGGACCGAGGGACAGCGCTTAACTTTTAATGTTAAGGAAAAAAGTAATGTCTATTGACATATTTGTTGTATGTTAAACACCATTAGACGATTGGGTGGGTTGTTTTATTTAATTTATTCCAACAACCCTGGGAAGAGGAAGGTAACGTGGGCGAGTCTGAGAAGGCGGAGTAACTTGCCCAAGGTCATACAGAGAGATCTGCCAACTTGACAAGTGGCAGTCAATCTGGACTGGCCCAGCTCTGGAGCTCTTGTCTGCTCCAGCGAAGAGCTCCTCCCCACTCTCCGTCCAGAGCTACGCCCTGCGCTTTCTCGGCGCCACTGGATAGAGGTCCGAAGTGCAGAGCACTTGTTCAGTTGTCTCCCCGCAACTGAATGCTTAGTAAACATCTGAAAACTCCAGGTTTCTCCTAAACGATCCTTTGTGTCACAAGGGCCTCTCTCCTTCATTTCAAACCTTCGTCACTGATCATCTGTTCACATTCTTCGTCGCTCCAGTTGACGCAGGCTCAGGGACACGACTTAGTGAACAGCACGCATACTGCTTCTTGCCTGGTGCCCTGTGACACGCCTGAGCGGTGGCATTGAAAGCCCTCCGCAGTGGTTTTGTCACCGACATCTCTGGGTTCCAATTCAGACCCTGCTGAACTTACTGTGTGACCCCAGGCAAGTTTTTTTGAATTCTCAGGACCTTGGTTTTCTCATACCTAATAATACTTACTTCATAGAATCATTAGGAAATCTAATGAGATAATGCAAGTGAAGTTTTCAGCATAGATCCTGGTTTAGCAGGGGCCGCAAGAATTGGCACTGTTGCTACATCCCTGACCTTATCTGTAGCCCACAGGCCCTTTCAGTCTCCATATCTCCTTGGTCCTTCAGGGACCTCACCTCCGAGAAGCCCTCCCTGTCTGTGTCCCTCTCACACACACAGCACCTCTTGCCCTCTTCTGACCCACAGTATGTTCCACCTCAACAATCAAGGCTTTTTGTTCTTTGTGTATCAGTTGCGTTCTAAGCTCCTCCAAGGGTCTAGCTCAGAGTTCTCTTAGAATGTCCCTCAGAACTTGGCCTGCCGCATGCAGAAAGTAGGTAATAGATAATTGATCATAGCTTGCTCACCTGCTTGTCCAGCAAAGAGCAGCAGAAGTGAATGGGGTCTGAAATCAGGGGGTCAGTAGGCCCCGCTTAAATCCTTCCTAGCTGGGAATACTTAAATTACTTCCTAGCTGGGCAGCCCTGGACAGCAGCTTGTCCCTGTCTCTTAGCCTCCATTTATTCAGCCATCAAATACAGAACATGCTACTACTTGGCCTGTTTACTAGGGCTTCAGAGACAGTATTACAGTGCCAGGGATAACAATGATCGATAATATTTATTGAGAACTCACAGCTAGTATTTATTTTGCCAGGCTCTAAGCACCATAACTTAAGCATCGTTTGATCCTCACAACCCACCTCTGACCCAGACACTATGATTATCCCCATTTTACAGATGAGGGAATCTGGAAAGAATTGTAGCAGAGCAGGTTTGGGAAAGAAGCAGGGCCTCGGGGCCAGGGAGGGAAATGGGGGTGGCAGGGTGGAGCTGGGAGCAAAGAAGGGAGCCAGCGAGGGGGCTGAGAGCCAGCTCTCTGCGGTTGAGTTTCGGGCAGCTGGGACTAGCTTTAGAGTTTCACTGCCTGGGAACCAACAAATTCCTGCAGGAGGTGTGGGGCACAGATCTGAAGCATGTCATCCTGGGCCCCGCTTCTTGCCCTTGAATTCATTCCTGGAGTTGTGATCTTGGTCAGGTCGCTAGACCTCGGTGAGCCTCAGTGTCTTTATCGTTGACACAGGGATGCCAAAAGGAGCTTTCCCTGTTTGTTGCAAGGACTCTAAGGTATTGGAATTTAAAGTCCTCAGAAGAGTGCCAGGCATGCAGTAGATACCTAGCATAATGCCAAGGTATGCATTTTACATGTGTTATTTTGGTGAAACCTCATCTACCTTAGAGAGATAACGATTTGGGCAGATGAGGAAACTGAGGCTGAAAGATATCAAGAGACTTGACTAAGTGCTGGTTAAAGATGAGACAAGGGGCTGGGGAGATAACTCAGAATAAGTGCTTGCCTGGCAAATGCAAGGGCCTGAGTTCAATCCCTGGTTCTGCCAATAAATAAATAAATAAATAAATAAATAAATAAATGATGAAATGAAGGGACTAGAATATAGCTCAGTTCCTGATACCATAAAAATAAAAATAAAAAAGAGGACCTGAACTCTGGTTTTTCTTTCCTAGGACACTGAGATTTTCTGAACAAAGAGCCAGCCAAGGCCCCTTGTGAAGGAGGGTATATTCTGCTGGGAGTCAGAGTTTCCGGGGCTGTGGACACTGTTGGAGAAGAAAAGTGCTTGGCCCACAACTGCTCAAGGGCTGGGGATTGGCTCAGTAGTAGAACACTTGCCTAGCAAGCTGGAAGCCCTGGGTTCGGTTCTTGGCACCAAAAACAAAAAATAAGGGCCGGGGATTTAGCTCAACAACCTGAATGTCTGCCTGGGAAGCACAAGTACAAGGTCCCAAGTTCAATCCCTGGTACCACACACACACACACACACACACA